ATAAACGTGCGTGAACTAAGAGCTCAAGATCTTAGGAACATGCAAGCAAGGATCAATTATATTTCCAGCACATAAAATCTCCTACCGTCCCCTCCAGATTTGTTTGATCCCAAATCACACCCTCACAGACAATGCGTTTCTCCTTCGTCCTCGTCCTTGCTGCTTTGACAGCATCAATATCTGCCAGTCCCGTTGACAGCCGCAGTGATGATTGTCCCAAACTTTGCTCCGAGGTAAAGTGCTGCGCTGGGCAGAAATGTGAGAAGAAGTACGGGTTTTGGGATGACGGCGGCGGTAGCTATGTGCGTTTGTGTCCTGGATTTAATCACATGACTCACAGGCGTGGTAGGTCTACTGGGAATGTGTGAAAGAGTGAGTGACATGTCGCGACAGTGAACTACAGTGAGTCGTTTTTCTGCTTTCGCATCGGTGCAGTGTGGTTGATGGCACAATGCGTGATTTACCAGTAGTTCGTTGATCAACGTGTGCTTGCTTCGGAACAAATTTCACTGTCACTTTTCGTTCGGGCCCGATAATGTCCAACATGGGAAGGCAAGGAATGCAGAACTTACTGAGAGAATAAGGAAAGGAGTGAGGTTGGACGGTCTTTATCTCATCCGATCTAGAATCTTGATAGCGCCTGCGTCAAGTCCCCTTGCAGTTAAATCGAATGCCCAACATTACTGTAGCCCCGGGGCACTGAGTAGATAGCCGTCCGTGCTGCTACTGTCCATGGAGTTTATGTACGCGCAAGTTGGAGACAAGCTAGAATTGTTGTGAATGCCTACAGAAGAGGACGTCTTGGCGAATACGCCTCTACGAGCTATGTCTGGCAGAAATCAGACATGGGTAGGCGAACCTCTTTCTTCCACTCAAAGAGGGTCCATGCACGTCACATGACAGATAGTGCGCAGTTATTCCAAACGCTCTGCAACTGTGCCGATGCTCGGAGGAATATCGACCATACAATCGAGGACAAGTTTGATGTGATACTGGAGCTCTGTGGAGGAATCGATTATCCTTTCAATTCGTGGCAGACCTGAGAGATGGTGATTCTATTCATAGTACGTACCTACGATAGCCTCTCTTCCTAGCCTCCCCTTTGATCCTCTGGATTCCCCGTTCCTCCTCTGGGACGCTTGCCAATCTTGAGTGCCGCCTCACCTCTGAATGTGTTCAGTTGTGCAATTCGAACTTCGACTACAATATGTGGCGCCGGAAGTTGCGGAGTAAATACATTACTCCTTAGATTTAGGGGCTCCAGTACTCAGCTACTCGCTTATCGCTCGTATTGTGTCGCTCGCTAACGTACAAGCGCATTATCGATATACCAGTGTTATCACCGAACACCAAACTGTTCCTGAAGAACTGCTAACTCTCTACAGGAGAGAACGACGGATTCTTTCCCGGTTGCCGTGGGATGCTACAGGGTCCACACACGCAGCGAATAAACGCTTAGAAGCCGAGAACGCATCCGCGCTCTGCTTCACGGGCGTCCCACATGCGCAAGTGCACTCCCAAACGAACAATTCCGTTCTGTCATGAAGGGAGAGGCGATATTGAGACGTGAAGTTGCTGTTACGCCTTTTGCACAAGATAGAGCATCCTAGAATAGACGTCAGTATGCAGCAGTTGAATTTCATACACACGGATACGTACCTCCAACCATGCCATGATATTACACACCTGGTCTATTGGGTTCTTGAGTATGTGGTACGACGAAGCACGTTCCGGGAGATTCAATCCCTCCGCACACTCTATCAAGTGAATGATCATCCTAAAACCCCGAAGGTCGACATAAGTCTAGAGATCCGGGATACAAGTATAATCCAGTAAACGCTGCCTTGCATCGCGATATGCACGTGAAAATGCATGTACCAAGGCGGGCTTTTATAGGCGATGCGGCTGAGCCTGTCAGATATCCTTGAACGCATGGTGTCAGCCAAGTCGGACACAAAATACAGTTCGAGGACTCACAGATCAAAAAACTGCTTGCCCTCACCGGCACCATCCTGCTGCTTGTCATACACCAACCAGCTTCTCAAAAGAAATCGCCGTCAACTCCGCGCCAGGATAACACAGTGCAGCCCACAGTCCAACTTTAAGTCCTCCCAACTCGAGGCGTAAATCCTACGTCGCTCAGCCATGCCTCAGACGCTTGAGAATCAGACCAACAACTGGACGCTGTTTGCGCCCAATTCAATGGGAGTGCACGAGGAGAGGATGTCTGGGAGCTGGACGCTGACCAATGTGCATTGTGCATTCTGTGGAATGGGTTTGGAGACATCGCGGTGTGGGTCCTAGTTGAACAAGAGGATGCGGCTAATATTGAAAAGGGGCGACGGGTACAGACGCATTAATGTTCCGACATGTCCAACCAGACGTGTACGTCAAAGCTACCGCGCATATTGCTGACGTGGCGTTCCATTTCTGGCCTTTCTCCAACTTATGTAAGTCCGGTGTGTACAAACTCCTTGATGTTGGACATCATAGGCCCCAACAGAACAACCGTGATATATCGCCTATGACGGGAGGAGTTGTGGTGTGATCGAGTGCTTCTATGTTCAAGCTTACAGCGAGACTACAAGACTGCGTCCATATTCTGTGTATTCAAGCGTTTGGCCGATCGGACCTGCCCAAGCTATACACAAACTCCGTCTCCAGCGAGTGAGGCATGCGTTCATGATATTATTTATGGATGCCTACCTGTCTCGCCGGAGGGGCTACGTAACGATTGATATTCGGTTTCACCGCGAGCGGACTTGAAGCAGGCGCTATCAAAATTAGATCGGATAGGATAAAGACCAACTTAACCTACGCCACTCCTTTCCTTATTCTCTCAACAAGTTCTGCACTCCTTGTCTTCGCATCTTGGACGTTATCAGGCTCCAACGGGTATATGGGAACTCCAGGTTAAACTCTTAACGTCTGCCTCATCGGTGTCGAGCAGTCTTTTTTCATCTCCATTCTGTCTCAGATCGATACAAAATAAGTCTCTGCTATATTCTTTCACGCTTAGATGCTCTCGAGGACATTGAAGTTAGCAGTTCTGTTGGATCCGAGTCCTCCCCTATAGCCCGCATCGACTTTCCGGGTCATGACTTACTCCACCCACAAGTGCCGTTTGAGCTTTCGCAATTCGACAAGTATTTTATATATTACCATCTAATGGAGTCGTGATAAACCCCAGCGACTCAGTGCAGCCCAAACATCCATGAGGCTCAGCAAACAGCACCTATGACGGGAGGAGTCATTGACGGCTTCTATGTTCAAGCTTACAACGAGACTACAAAGCTGTGTCGTAAGTATTTCAGTCATCTATGTATTCAGATGTTCGAGGTTTCCTCTATTCCAAGATCTACATTGCTCGAGCGGCGGTAAAATTTGTTCAAAGGCAAGCACGTTGATCAACTTAGCAACAAACCACCAGTAACTCACGCGTCAATGATACTGCACCGATGCGAAAGTAGAAACACGACTCACTGTGGTTCACTGTCGCGAAATGCCACTCAGTCATGTATACATTCCCAGATGACCTATGATGCCAGTGAGTCATGTGTTTAAATCCAGGACACAACCTACTCATACTCACACTAGAGCCCCCGTCTTCCGGCCAGCATACATGACCAGGACAACATTTTGTTTTGAAGCAAAATAAGGGACATTCACCACTGAAGCTGTCGATGGGACTGGCAGATATTGATGTTGTCAATGCAGCAACGATGAGGAAGACGAAGGAGAAACGCATTGTTTGTGAGGGTGTAATATGGGATCAAATAAATTTGAAAGAGACGGTAGGAAGATGACTTGCTTTTATGTGCTGGATACTGTACTGGCAGAATTCCGTGGGTATGTAGCTTTACGGTCCGATCGTAACTGAGTTTGTCAAGATGATGACGTGGGGACCTCGACTACTACTACAAAATTTCCTCCGATAGGGTCAGTAAGAGTCTGGTTCGAGATTACTGCACGCACTGACAGACATAAGATGCTGAAACACATTATGTGTGCGAGGTTATACGAGATTTGTCAATGAGAATCTTCTGAGGTGGGGGGACGTTGAAGCCGGCTCGCTTTTAGACCCTGAAAATCGTGTTGTGGACAGAACTCGAACGTTCTACTTGCATGGCGAGAATGTAGGCAGAACCTAGTAGAACCTGAGGCCTGAGGGTCAGCGGATAAACAATCCAGAATATGCGAAACATAAAAATAAACACAGCCTGAGTGATGGAGATGCATATTGTAGGCAAGGCCGACAGAACCTACTCCACTCGTTAACCACCGTTGGAATGTCATGCAATACTTCAAGTCCACATGGAATCCACTAGTCTCGGTTTCAGATGGCGTGGCTATTTTGACGCGATCGCGACACGCCCGTGACGTAGTCTCCTCCAGCCAGACCAATCGAAGGAAGACAGTCGTTCCTTTATGTTCAACCGTGACGCTGGAACGGGTCAAGAATGACCCCGTGAGTGACTCACGATGCTCGCATCTCCGTCGTTTTGACACCCGATGACGTGTCCTGCGCATTGGGGCTCGATGCTGATGGGTTAGGAATGCTGGGAGTTTCCACGGAATGATGCGTCGAAGCTGGGGAGAGCTGACGTGGCTGGTGAACTTTAGTCGATGGAATCATCGGAAAAAAGGTGCGGAAGGAACCGAAGCAGTGGTTGTTGATGTGCGGGAGACTGGTGGTGGCCATCGAATAGCGAATGCGGCCTCAAAAGCATATCAAGTTGCTTTTTGTCATTCAGTCGCAGCCCGTTGCAGAGACAACAAATACGTGCACGATGTAATGGAAACAAATGCACCATAATGCGGTTGTGAACGAGTCTCCCTGAGGAAGGGGAAACACTTCTTGCGGCGGGGACCATCTCGGGCCATGGTTCTCGAGGAGTGCATCAGTAAAACCACCAATTCCTTTTCCAGCCTTATGTTCCTTACATAATGTGCCTTCAAATTTCGTCGCGTCAAGTCCAGACCAGCTTACTTCTAAGTTCTTACTTTTCGTACTTTGTTTCCTCACTAATGTTGACATAGAATTTGTGGAAGGAATCATAGGTCTGGTAGTGTTGGAGGTTGGGGGAAACAAATTGAGTGCCGTAGACAGGAATAAGGTGCGCAGCACGGTAGATTGTGTCAATGTGAATGATGGAGATGTAGGGAGCATTGTTGGCGTGGTGAGCGGGCTGCACCATTCACATCCCGGTGTCTTCATCAGGCAAGTCTCCAATGACATTGAACCATCACACAACTGTGCATGTATACAATTCAGCCCTGTGAGTGAAAGAGAAAAAGTGGCAGTGACCGCGACGAGAACTTGCTTTAGGTGGGTTGGGCCCAGCACTAGGTCTACTCATATTTCTCGAGGACACTTGCTTATCTATCGAGCTATCAAACTCTTATAGACTTCAACTCGCCGCATATTCTGATAGCCCATGTTCATTCACCAATCCCAATACATCCAGAACGCACATTTTACGATCTTCAACTCCACGATCAATCCAAGACAGACGCTAATGCCCACCCAAATGCCCGAAGTTCGTCCCCAATTGCACCTCTCCGTCTCATACATCCAATTCACAGTCCTAGCAATACAATCACGCAACCCCCTCACATATCGTCTCGAACTCCCCCGCGGTCTGCTTTACGAGCAAGTGCACTGCCAAACGTTCCATTCCTTCATCAACACCGTGACGATATTGGACCGTAAATGTTTGAACTTGGAGTAACGCCTTTTGCACACACTGATTAGTCTGTCAACTGCCTTGATATGCGGTGCGATGATGCACACTCTTGAACATTTTGTCCTCCCGCGTGTTCTATCAAGCATCAACGTCCTATATCTCCGCCTCCACCCGCTCCACCTAAAGGGCTCCTAACCTTGTTGCCAACTTCTTCAGCACTTCGGTTCTCCTGCTGCCCTCTACTAGTCATCGAATTATTCCCGTCAGCCGGAACTCGCCTGAACTTCACCCAGTCTTATTTTCCTGGTACCGCTCATTCTGCTTACCACTGGCTCATCTCATCCTTCATCCACAGTGTCGCTCGTCTTTTTCTTCTGCTCCGCTATCCACAGTCATTGGTGGAATCTTAAAGTCCCTTCCAGTGGCGCATACCTGCAGGTATTTACTTATCCATCAAAACTCAACTCGACTCGATGCCGGACATTACCCACCGAGTCCCATCGTCCGACGGTTTTAGCTCAGGGCGATACCGCGACCTTGTAAATCCAGAGACTTACCAACATGATTCCAGTACTCATCGTGAGGGCTGTGTCTGTTTCGAATGGGTACGTTTCTGCCGAGGCTCTTGTCTTATCGACGCGCTGATATGATTATGCCAGGCGATTAAAGGGAAGAATGTGCTGCCTGTGACCGCAATCCACGTCAAGGTTCAAAGCACCAAGGTGGGCACACCTCTCTGATTCAAGTATTCATCAACTCACAACAAAAGCCGATTCCTTCCGCGAACGACGGAGCGTTATCAAGCGCTTGCCTGATATGGCTGTCCACCCTAGCGACTTTATGGTGCAGTCCTCCCTTGCACTCGTTTGAAAGGCACTCGAGGCATGGGGTATGGAGCCTGACTGTCGGCATATCTTAGGCCGTATTCTCGACCTCTCCAAAGTATCCGATAGTGACTTGTTCAAAAGACTATCAAAAACATCACGGACATCGAAGCTCAGTCTAAAGGCCATTGTGTCGGCCGAGTGAAAGCAAGTTCAGGGTCGTGTCCAAGGCTCCTGGCGTTTTTAGATGCATTAGCCTTGTCCGTGTTCTACGTACTGCGCTCTCCTTGTCATGCTACCAAGTGAACTCAATCAACGTGGCAAGGTTGCAATATGGGTACAACACGATAGATGTGTCCAGAAGCTCGCCATTCCATCCAGAATTTGTTATTGCTCGACACATTCGGGTCGATAATAGCCTGAGCGCTCTCGTAAGCCCATCGGTGCAAGACAGGCAGAGCTGCACAATTCTGTACAAGTCTACACAGCACCCTGTTTCGTTGATAAGCATAGGAATGCGGCAATACCAACGTCACCTTCCCTCCGCACCGCAGGTCACCCTCGCAGCATTTTATATCGTCTCTGATCGTACCCTTCAGGTGATATATTTCAACTATGTCGCAGATAATGAGTTCGGTTGACGAATCGAGGTCATATTGAAATTGCGTCCGCTTAGTACACCTTTAAAGCATGCCTGACAAGCACTGTAAATGTAGTGAGAAGTGCATTTCGGCACTCGAGCCCTATAAGAGTCTGTACGCAGATGGAACTTTCGAGCGACATAACATGTGTAGTAGTGCCGCGTCATTTCCACCCGACCCCATCAAGACTGATATCCACGCTGCACAATAATGCCCGCGGTAGTGTTCTCAGGTTCTTAGGAACATGTGAGGAAGGATCAGATATATTTCCTGGAAGATAGGCTCTTCCTACATCGCCACGAAGTTCTGCCAGAACAATATTCAGCATATAGAAGTCAGCCGTCCGACTGTCCCTTTCAGATTTATTTGATCCCATATCACATCCTCACAAACGATGCGTTTCTCCTTCGTCCTCGCCATTGTTGCTGCGTTGACAGCGTCAATATCTGCCAGTCCCCTTGACAGCAATAGTAGATGTCCCTCATATTGCGACAATCCAGTGACGTGCTGCGCTGGGCAGAAATGTGAGAAGATATACCGGGTTGGCAGTACCTCGCCAGTGAGTTTTCATCCTGGATTTAACCACATGACTCATCGGTGTGCTAGTTCTTCTGGGAATGTATTGATGAGTGAGTGGGATATCGCGATAATGAACTACAGTGAGTCGTGTTTCTGCTTTCGCATCGGTGCGGTGTGGTTGATGGCACGATTCGGGACTTACTAGTGGTTTCTTGCTGAGTTGATCAATATGCTTGCTTTTGAACAATTTTCACTGCCGCTCGAGCAATGTAAATCTTGGAATAGAGGAAATCTGGAACACTTGAATACATAGCATGATGGAAGTACTCACAACGCAGTTTTGTAGTCTCGTTGTGAGCTTGAATACAGAAGCTGTCAATGGCACCACGACTCCTCCAGTCATAGGCGCCGTTTACTGGCTTCATGGTTGCATCTTTGGTCTGTACCAAGCCGCTGAGGTTTATCACGACCCCATTAGATGGTGAAAATTGATGTTGTCGAATTGTAAAAGCTCAAGATCCAAAAACGGCACTTGTTGGAGTAGGTCTAAGGTCATGACTCGGTGAGTCGGAAAGTCGATGCAAGTTGGAGGACTCGGATCCAACAGATCCAACAGAACTGCTAGCTTCGATGTCCTCGAGAGCATATAGGCGTGAAAGAAGTGGATAGGTATAGCAGAGACTTATTTTAATTGCTCTGAGACGGAATGGGGAGAGAAAATGACTGCTCGAGAGTCGACACTGACAAGGCAGACATTAAGAAGGTGACCTGTAGTTCGCATATAATTCCGTTCGGGCCTGGTAATTCCCAACATGGGAAAGTAAGGAGTACAGCGGCTCGTTAAAAATATTGTCGTACAAATCGTGTTGACCCATGCTGAGGGAGCATACAGAACATGTTCATTTTTGGGCGGGAGGAGACCTTCGACATCCGCCTTGAGCCTTCGAAGGAGGAAAGGCTTCAAGATCTCATGAAGAGCGCCGATCAATTGAGATGACTCCTCGTGCAAAAGCCGAGATTGCATGGTTCCGACGTTGAGCCTGGCTCTACCATAAGCCAATCACTGATACTGCAAGAACAGCGACAACGAACAATTGCTTCAATGTGTCCATATCATGAAAATATCAGACAGTATAAAATTCAACGAAGACCACACGTCTGATTATTCTGCGGAACATGAGTAAGCAAGACATTGCCGTGCTGAAAAGCAACTTACGTGTAGTGGTGTTCTGCCCTCGGGTATTTCTTGATCTCCTGCGTCAAGGTTTTGAGTTCATATAACCTCAATTGTATATGGAAAGATGTACGCGGTCTGTCAGGATCATTGAGTAGGTGGGACGACCGCGAAAGTAAGACGATTTATGGAGATATATAGAGGGTATAGGGTGTCGTATTCGATTTTCGAGGTATTCCGTCGTCTTCATCTGCCTGTCAACTGTCCTCCGCATCCGCGCATCTGACGGTTTGACCTTTTGCTTTACGCTTCGACGCAGGAACCTTACGGTCGGGTGCATTCTTGCCCTTCCCTTTTGATTGCGTCGCTTCTTGATGATGACATCTTCATCGGTGGGTTCTGAAGCGTCCGGGGCTTGCATGATGGTTCGACGAAGCGTAGTAGACTTACAGCAGGTGCAAATTTATTCCTCTATCCGGTTATGAAGGACGCTCAAGGGGCAGACGATAAGGGCTGGCAATGACCGAGCCTGCGTAGGTGTTCGTTGAACACGATCGTTTGCAAAGTCTACGAAGTTTATCCGTTGAAGCTTCATTCATGAGCGATATTACCTCGCATAGACCCATCTCGTCCACTACAGTATCTACTTGAGAACCTTGAACATGATCATTAGAAGTCAAGGAATTACCGAGAATCCCAGAAAGTTTGTTCTTCCAAACCAACCAACCATCTACTCCACCCCCTCCGACTGATAATGCTTCAATGTTACCCCAGTGACTAATACAAGGCCCAGGCTGAGGGTGCGAGCTGTTCTCCCCCTCAACTCCAACCGTTCCAGGAATCTGTCTGGAATCGCCTCTTCGTCATTCGACTCGACGTGTACGCGTTTATTTCCACGTCTTGGAAGATGTTTGCGTGAAGACTCGGGCTTTGACTTTGAAGGCTGCAGCTCGGATTGCGAGCGTGCATCTTTTCTTGTCCATTCTGTGCTCCTAGCAACTTCGAGTCCGTAAAGGATTTTTTGAGGAGGCGTTCGAGCTTAGCGAATCGTTCCCTGAGTTCGTAAGTCAAACGAGGTGAGTGAGGAACGATGGATGGGAACAGGAACTGTCGCACCTCCCCACAAAACCGTCAGTAGAGAGAAGTGTACTGGGTAAGTTCTCCCACCTAGCGGGTACTTTTCTGTGGTCTAATTAATGGTTCCTCTCTTCATTGGGGGGAGGTGAAAAGGCTGCTGTGCTCGCAGGAGCAGATGTCATTGTGAAAGCTATGGGGAACGATGGTGACGGGTTTGATTCGACATTGCCCTCAGTTAAATGAGATAGAGCAAAAGGTACTTTGACGTGGGCTTGGACCGCGACCATCAACGCGATAGACCCGGCCCTAAACCACTTCAAGTCTATGCACGAGGGGAGGGGAAATTTCCTTTCGTGTATCCTTTGATTGTAGGGTGAAGAAACCGCCCGGCTTCTTTGCGATCACAATCAGAGAGATCCTTCTGGGCGTTGACCGCGACTCAGAACCGAGTTCAGACATGGGAGGTGGGCCGAGCACGGTTTTCTCGTTTTTCTCGCAGAAGTAGAACGCCGCATATCCGCTCCATCTAAAGCATTGACCCAACCCGGTTGCCAACTTCTTCAGTGCAGCTCTCCTGCTGCCCTCTGTCAGTCATCCAAATTGGGTCTCAGCGCTCTGTGGAATGAATACCAACATCCATCGTTCCGAATAGCTAGCTCACTGGATCTCACCTCAACTTCAGCCACAATCTCCATATCCCCACCCCTCCCACTGTCATTCCCCTCACTGGCTCAGCCCATCCTTCATCCGTGTCGCTCAGGTCCTTTGCTTCCTTTCTCTGCCATGCACTATATGAAAGCCTAATATATAAGGATCCAGGCTTAAAGGTGGGCCACTTTATATGTCCTCCGACCTTCACGGACTTTAAGGATGGCGTCATTGACTGTACGAAGGAGGCCTTGGCACTCAACTATGCTTCATGCGTGATGAATACAATGCCGTTCAAATGGACAAATCATTTCATATCAATATGGTATATAGTTGGATGTCGTATTGCTTTCATCTGGCGCGGTTTCACGAGCCGTTGATCTTGGATTCTCTTTTCAAGTTGTACGTGAAGCTTACCCTGGTACGTACCCTTGCGCTCCAATTACCTAGTTTTCGTATTCTCTCTGCTGCTCTAGAGTCTTCAGCGAAGCTTTTCGTCGCTCGACGACAATGCTTGAGTGCTGCGCTATGAGTCGACCTTCTAACAGTTCCCTCGAAGGCACTATGTGCGCCCATCTGCAACGAATCTGGTGACTTCGTCAATCCCGATGGACTAGGGGTTCCAAGGCAGGGACTACGCATTCGGGGTCTCTATTGCCTTTTTCACAGCTTAGTCAGCATGTAGACCAAGGTCCAGCATGTTCGTAGCTTATTATCATCATCGTAGCTGCTTGCCTTGCTCTTGGCTTAGGCCGCTGGCTCCTGCTCCACCGAATGGGTGGCATCAATGCTTCCACCCTCTTCAACGCCAGTGCTAATTTGCAGATGAGGCATCTATATGGCGGGCACCGCAGGGTTTCATCTCTCATACTAGAGAGGATCTCTAATGCTCGACTACTCATGCCAACGCAGAAGGGCGTGTTGAGTTACATGCAGCTTGTGATGAGGTGCCAAAGGTATGGTCTGGAGTTTTGCCGTGCATAAATGCATAACAAAAACAAGTGCGAGCGTTACTGATGGCTGCGTTAAACCTGACCTATCCCGCCTCAAGCCACATGCAACCTGTGACTCAGTACCATCTCATTCCCGACCCATACTGCATCAAGCCTTGTTCATGCTGCGTCAAGCCACACCCATTCCGCATCAAACCTCATCCATGCCACGCCGCGTCCGTGTTTTTCTGTGCCACATCACCGTTGCTTAGTGCCGCGTTACGATCGCCAGGCTTCACGCATGCTACGTCGCTGAATTTCATGTATCTCACCTCGGTACTGCTGCCCACATCACACCCTGATCATACTCCATTAGCCCCACTCAATCTGCTGTTTATTTCACTCAGTTTACTTCCTCAATATACGAGGTGTGAATGAGCTGAACTGCGTTCGTCTGTCTTGAAACAGAAATCATGCCGAGTCCGTGCCGCTGCACTCAGTCTGCTTCGAAGCCCAGTGAATTTTCTTACTCCAGTCCAGTATGGTACGCCTACGTCGTGCTGGCAAATGGAGTTGCTCGCTTTTGAAACTATGGATGGGATTTGTATGGGTTGTTACTTACGTTGCAGCCGCGTCAATACGAGGGAACGATTGTCTTCCTTCGATTGGTCTGGCTGGGGGAGACTACGTCACGACCGCGGCAAAACCGCATCAAAGTAGCCACGCCCTCTGAAACCGAGACTAGTGCCACGATTTGCATGACATTCCACCAGTGGTTAACGATCGAATGGAGTAAGACATGACTGGACATTGATGAAAAATTAAAATTAAAAGTGTTGAGTGACACGACATGATATTTTGGAAGGTTGGTATACGCAGTTCAAAGGTATAATCGTTCTTGATGCACTAAATTGCGGTGGGACCGTCCGTATAAACGTGCCTGAAATAACAGCTCAAGACCTTAGGAACACGTGAGCAAGGATCCACCATATTTCCAGCACATAAAAGCTACCGTCCCCTTCAGATTTATTTGATCCTATATCCCATCCTCACAAATCATGCATTTTTCCTTCGTCCTCGCCATCGTTGCTGCTTTGACAGCATCAATATCTGCCAATCCCATTGACAGCGACAGTGATTATTGTCGCAATGATTGCTTCGGCCCCCCCGGTTCAAAATGCTGCGCTGGGTATAAATGTGTGGAGATAACCGCCACTCTGACTAAAGGCGTTACTTACGTGAGTTTGTGTCCTGGATTTAACCACATGACTCACCGGCGTGGTAGAAGACCTGGGAATGTGTGAAAGAGTGAGTGACATGTCGCGACAGTGAACTACAGTGAGTCGTATTTCTGTTTTCGCATCGGTGCCGTATGGTTGATTGCACGACGCGTGACTTTAGTGGTCTGTTGCTGGGTTGATCAATGTGCTGGCTTCTGAACAAAATTTACTGCCGCTCAAGCAATGACGATAGAGGAAATCTCAGAGACTTGAATCAATCTTATAACGCAGTTTTGTCGTCTCGTCGAAAGCTTGAATATGGAAGCCTTCGATGACAACACCACACTTCCCGTCATAGCGCTGTGTACTTGGCTTGAATCACTAAGACCATGTCAGCACGAGAATCAAACAACCAGAATAGACTCATACATCAATGCGAAAATGGGTGATGAAGCATAGCCTCATTTAATGACCTACTTCGACACCCTTCTTGAAGCTGTCTTGAAGCTGTGCAAACATCAAGAACCCCGAGTGAAAAACACGTATGGCTTACATTATACAGGAGATCCCGAGCCTTGGCCCTTGGAATACAAGTCGTTAACGAAGAAAGGCTCGAAGGAAACAATAGCATAGACTATATGACGACCGTCAACGTGGACCGAGATGTCTAGGCACCAGAGAAAAGTTAGGGACAGCAGCCGATCCCCTGAAGAGGCCATGTCACTTATCTTCCCGGTGAGCATCTCGTACAACATAACTCCAACCACCCAAAAGTGAATTGACGTACTTCGTGCATATGTTCTGCAGTGCCGCAGAGTAAATATACAAGGTAGTAGTAGTGCAATTGTGAGGCTGGTGAAAGTCTCTGTGGGGTTGTAGTGAGGAATCGTAGCGCGAAGACCTTGGCCAAACCAGCTACAATTACAAAGTAACCATGACAGTCGATAAGCATGATTATTCGACGGCTTGAGGTTCATATGGGCAATTCCTCCGCAGTGGAGATGCTAGACACCGACGAGCTAATTTACTGGTCAGAACAGAGATCACAATTATAGGGAAAACACTCGCAAAAGTGACGGTATCGCCCCACGCTACAGAGCTGTCAGATGATAGGATGCGGATAGCCGATTTCCAGCGTCTCCTCGAGTCGAGAGCGATGGGCACGTAAATGCCTCTGGGGGAAGCTCCAAGAAGGGAGTTCCGCTGATGACTGTAGACAAGTCATGAAATCAATGTCGTGAGGAATGGGCCATCTTCAGGTCGATAGGTTGGCATTAGCACAATAAAGCCACTGCAAGCAACACTGAGGATCGAGGATGGGCTGCGTGGTGTGCATAATAAGCGGTGGGGCAAGAAGGGGTATGAATGTGGGGACTTCGGATGAAGTTCAGGCGGGTCACCTAGAGCAGAACGTGCGCATGGACTCGAAGAACTGTTGGAAGGTCAACTGAGTCATAGCGCAGTACTCGAGCATGTCAATGAGCATTGTCGTCGAGCGACGAATGCCTTCGCTGAAGACTCTAGAGCAGCGGAGAGAATACGAAAACTAGATGATTGGAGCACAGGCGCACGTACCAGGGTAGTAAAACAACTTGACGTACAACTCGAAAAGAGAATCCAACATCAACGGCTCGTGGAACTGTGCCAGATGAAAGTAATTTTACTACACACCAATATGAACGAAGACAACTATCTGCTCGAACGGCACTGTATTCATCACGGCGCTAGGATCGTTGGTGTCGAGGCCGCCTTCGTCAGTCGATAGCACCCTAGTTAAAATTCTTGAATATAACGGATGATCAGGTGGCCTTGCAGAATAAAGAGGTAGTAGATTCAATGTCTTAAAGGTGGTTTCAAATATGCGCTCGAAGGCGTGCCCACGCTAGGTCGATAAGAACAGCAGGGAGGTCGGGATGGCTGACCGGATACCAGTCCAGAGTCACCTGAAATGTATCGTTCGGACAAGACCCCTCGCGCGTCACCTATTCGGAACATCTTGTGTGACTTGCATCTATTCTCGCAGTCTACGGTAGACTGCATTTTGCGTTCTGTCAGTAAAAGCCATCAGCACGGAGGCTGGAGTGACTGACATCGAATAGTAGTCCACCGTCGTCATTTCCGCAAGCATAGACAGAAGTAGCGTTCAGCGTGAAAGAAGGACAGACGCCTCGAATAGGCGGGAAGGACAGATCTATGACCAATGAGGAGATGTACTAGATTAATGCGAACGGATTCCTCACCGAAAAGCTCATTGCACGACGCCTAAAAGTCAAGTATTGAGTTCTCCATGTCCCAGTATTCGGCAGAGGATGTCTCGACCCCTAGTAATAATCTAGGTCGACGCACGTGGCGATCTGCAAATGCAGATTGAATATAGGAATCACGCCTGCAAGTCTCTAGAAGGCTTTACAAGGTCATGTTGTCGCTCAAGCTAAGAACCGTCGGATGAGAGCGTCCACGCAGGTCGAGTTGGATATGCCTATGGATATGTACCAGGAGGAGATTTTCTCCGTATGAAACGCATGCCAAGTACGTATAAAGTGGTCCCATCTTCAAGCCTATATTGGCCTTCCATGCAGGGCGTGACGGAGAAATGAAGCAAAGGACCTGGGCAACACGGAGGTTGGAGGATGAGCTAAGCCAGTAAGCGGAATGCTGGTGGGACAAGAGGGGTGTGGATATGGAGGTTGTGGTTGAAGTTGAGGTGAGATTCAGCTAGCTGGTCGGAACGATAGACGTCAGCGTTGGTAATATGTTCAACAGGACGCTGAGATCCAAATTTGATGACTGACAGCTAAGGCAACAGGAGAGCCATACTGAAGAACTTGGCAACAGGGTTGGGAATGTTTCAGTATTGAAGGGACGTGAGTGCTGATAGAGAAGGACTGAATATGGATCGTGTTATAGTATGGGGGAGGTACATTGTTTACTCTTAGGTTATTAATTAGGACGTAATAAAGGAAAGGAACATTTGGGAGTACAGTTGTATAGCTGGGCGTGTTCGTAAACAGACCGCGGAGGGGTTCGAGACGCAGAGGAATCTGGGAATTTCGAAGGGGAGTTCGAAATATTGATTGGGGGAGTTGATGGTGGTTGTATACAGTGCTAGATGTATTTAGGGTGATTACTTAGGTGGTGTTGTGGGCTTTGTGGGACCGGATGTGCATTCGGAATGTACTTGGATTGGTGAATGTATGGGTGATCAGAATATGCGGTGAGTTGAGGTCTATAAGAGTTTAATAGCTGGATAGATAAGTAAGCGTCCTCGAGAAAGATGAGCAGACCTAATGCTCGACCACCCACCTCCCATAGCTGAACCAAGTTCTCGTCACGGTCAGATTCATCTCAACCCTTGACAGATCTTAGCACACTCACTGGAAGGATCTCTCTGATTGTGATCGCAAAGAAGCCATACTAGTACTATCTTTTCGTCGCATCACAATCAAAGGTTTCCTACATCAACAGCGGTTGGTTTTAGGGCCGGGTCTAT